GAGTTCAGAAGGGACATGCCTGAGATGTTCTTCCATGGTTCGGGTGTCATCACAGTTTGGCACAGGGATGTTGTCATTCTTTCTCAATCTTCGCCACTCCACATAATCCGGAGTGAGCATGCTTCTGGCAGCTACAATCCATCCGGAATACTTTTCTCCAAGAATCGGCTGCTTCTTTGATCATCTTCTTATAGCTGTCGCCGTGATACTCAAACTCTGACCTAGCCAACCCGCACGTTGCTGGGACAAACTGACGTGCTCCATATTGTCTAAGTGCTAATAGCGGAGCATACCCGACTGCTCCCCAAAGTCCAAGTAAGGTCACAGTGTCGGAGTCACCACATCGAAAAAGAACATCACTGAGGAATAACCAAGGGGCTCTCCAGACAATATCTCGGTCTTGAAGATGCGTAAAGACCTTCATCCATTTTTCTTTCGAAGCGCCTTCATGCCATTTTAAGGTAATAAATTCACCTAGAGGTGAATAGGTGGTGCTGAAACGGCGGTAGGCAACCCCGTTAGTCTTCCAGAAGTGGCTGTGAATCCAGACCTGAAGGAGCTGGATGCACCCGGTGAATCTTCCTCCGCCCGTTCTTCGGCAATGGTTGAGAGATCGAAAGGTCTCGGCCAAGATGGTTGGTGCTGGGTTAACTCGTTTAGAAAGTTACTCAAATAGTTCCACCACGGCAGCGTCAATGCACCCCAAAGCCTTCGGAAATATGATCAAACCGTACAGACCCAGTGCAAAAAGGTCTATAGTCTTCCACTCATCAGGGTGGTTTTTCATTAGTTGCTTTATATGGATCCACTCGATTCCTTCCCCGCTACCTTTGTGCCGGAGTCGATCAGTCACCCACTTTTCATCAACCCCTGCAATCTTGGCCAGTCCGTTCTTGAAGGGCTGACTCTTGATATGTTTAATATATGCCCTCTCTAGTTTGATGCTTTCGCAATGCAGTAGAGTAGTATACTCTTCGATAGTAGGTATCATGTCTTCCTGGTTAAAGGTGAAACAACTATATCCAGGGTTCCAGAATTGAATTAATGCTCGGAGTAAGGGCTCATCAGTCTTGACATGGAGCAAGAGGGCGATATCACCATATCGTTGGCTGAACTTCTGCTTTCTGTCATTCTTCCAACTGTCCCAAATGTTTCGCAGCTCTTGGACATTATTCTGTTTCAGGCTGACAGCGGCATAACTAACCAGTTCTGACACATAGTTTCCCTGAAGACTGTCTCCCTTCTCTTTTTGAGCCTTCTCGGACCATAGTCGTGCCTCAGCGTTTTCAATCTCTTGTATTACAACACCTTTGTCCATTAATTCGAATTATTTTGTGTATAAAAAACGCTTTTTAGAGATCAATAGCCTCTTGTAATGATGCAAATGCTAGAAAACAAACACAAAGGCAAAAACGTTAGTAAAATAAAAATACAAAATAAAAAAAAATGACGGAAGGAAAAAGCGCAAAAAAAAACATGGTTAGGGTAAAAATATCCTAAGTTTTGGAACGTGGTTTCGGGGTAGGCTCTAATTCTTCATGGTCTCCCGGTTTAGGTTTAAAAAAACGGTACCCGAGTTCTCCTTGTCGGTGCCCCCTTGGGCTTGCCAGACCCTTAGTCCTAAACCCATCACAGGCTTGTGTGGACTAAGTTAAACTCGAGGGGACACATTCCCTTATGCCCGCACGGTGAATAAATTCACACGAAGACATAAGATATATGAATCCCGAAGGCTACTTGCTAGGCCCGCACGGTGAATAAATTCACACGAAGGCGTCGCTTTCACCCCCACTTAAAATAGGAATTGGAGCTCGGGTATAGAGCCTTAGATGAAAAAAACTTTGAAGTCTGAAATCATGAGAAAACGATTAGTCCAACTATTTACTCGAAAATATAATCAAAAGTAAGTAAAAAGGATCGAAATATTACCTTAAAATTTAAACTTACCATTTTCGTTAAAAAGACAACTGGAAATTACCTTAGCCTGACTCACTTACCGGTCCCCAGCGGAGTCGTCAAGCTGTCGTAACCGCCTTTCGGTTTGGCCCCGAAATTGGGCTTCGACTTGAAAAATGTGGATTGGAGTCGCCACCGATCATTCATTTAAAAATAAATGGGTTAATCGGATACCCTATTTTTTTACCTGATCTGCGCTTTTACCAGAAATGTGTCGGGTTCGGGAGTCGGTTACGGTCAAGGAAGGATTAGCACCCTTGAACCGCCCTTTCGGTACTATATAATTTCCAGTTGTCTTTAATTAAGAAAATCGTAATTTTAAATTAAAAGGTAAAATATCGATCCGACTACTTACAATTGATTGACTTGAAAGTGAACCTTTTAGGAGCCGAAATGTGTATTAGAAAAGGTGATGAAAATGAATTAAAATGGAAAGATAAAGAAAACGAAACAAAGAACAAAAATAACAATGGATGATACACCAAAAGTAACATAATCGTCATGGAGATATAGAACATGAAGGAAATAAAAGTGAAGACAAGTATGACAACATGTGATAAGATAAAAAATGAAATAAATAAATAAATAAGAAAATAAGACCCAATAGAACGGAAAAAGAAAGGAATAAATAAATAAATAAAACATAATAAAGGTGAAATAAAATAATATACAAATGTAAAGTGATAAGAATTAAATAAAATGTACATATGTATATAAAAAATGTAAAATAATAGCGTATAAAGTAAAATTAATAAAAACATATAATAATATTAATTCCATATATATATATATAATAGCTAAATATGGGAGAGAGGGAAAAATATATAATAATAATAGAAAAATTAAATAATAAATATAGTAATACAAAAGTAAGGAAATAATAAGATAAAATACAAAGCATATACATATAAACGTTTAAACAAGATATTAGTATGAAAAAAAACAAAAAAAGATACAAAATGAAATGAAAATGAAAAAAGAAGTACGAACGGTAATATATCTATACGTGTATATATAAGAAATAATGAAAAAAAATGGTATAATATAACATAAATAAATAAAACACCAAAAATAGATAAATATATAATTTAGTATGTATATATATAATAAGGATTGAAATGAAAAGAAAAGCAAATCGAGTGGCCAATTTGAAAGCAAATCGAAGTTTAAAATTGGATTTGGGACCAAAACAACAGGCCTTTAAGGAAGGAGGGACCGAAAGGGTAGTTTACCCTAATTTATTACAAAATGCACGAATCTGATATAAACATGGATCAAATATTTTTTTAGTTTCATTTTCTCTTCTTCACGTCGAGAGAGCCCTCTCCCTCTCTCAATGTTTCTCTGTAACGTCCCAGATTTCGGCCGCCGTTGCCGGCGCCGACCGCCGCTCTCCGACGGCAAAATGTAAAAGTTTTCGTTTTTTGAAAGCCCTTCGTACACTCGTTCCAAAAATATCCATAGTTATGTTAGATCAAGCCTCGAGGAGAGTAGATCTACGAACGGAGATTCGAAAAAATCCCCACCTCCTCTGTCATTGGCTTCTTGTTTCGAACCAACAAAGAAAGAGCATGAACGACACACATGCAAGGCAAAGAATGAACTGAAAGCAAGGTAAAAAGAGAGAAAAAAACCTCTTTTATTTCTTTTCGAACTTGTTACAAAAGGCTTCGAAGTTGCTTGATATTTCTCTCAATATTTTGTGTGATTTTCTTGCCAAATTCGTCCCCCCCCCCCCAATCATGTTCACTTTACATGTATTTATAGTCTAAGAAATACTAGTCTTAGTCCCGATTTTCTAGCATTTTATTTGGACTAAATTACTGCTTGGTTGGTTGTGGATGTATCCTTGTATCTCACGTCGTTGTGCTTGTTGAACATGCGAGAAATGACCGTGAAAGGAGGCGTGCGGCCGTGAAACTCGGGAGTTGGGACTGCTGCGCGGCGCTGGGTCTTCACCGGGGGAGAACGGCGCTGATGGAGTGTGTGAAGCTAGGGTTCTTTGGAAACCCTAAGTATGCACGGGTTTAGGTCTTGGCTGGGGCATTTGGGATTTGGGCCTTTATTGTTGGGCCTGTAACAGAAATTTAAGGATGTAAATAAACTATATTATAATTTATAACATAATATAATATTATATATAAGTATGTATTATGATGGGCGAATTTCAGTGTCTTCACCTTGCCATGCTTCTCTTTAATGCCTCTGTTTTCCTAATGACTCCTTTATCATAAACTTAGGATGTTAATAGCAGGAATGTTGATTTATGGTTCCTACTGTAGACAGTATAACAAAGGGTGTTTGGAGATGGTTTTCTTACCAAGGTTTATCTTATAGGTTATTCAAGTTTGATTCAAATAAAATCGAGATTGAAGTCGAACAATTTGAACCATTGATCAAATCAAAAGCAATCATCAATTATTGAGTCGAGCCTGATGTCGGGAAATTTGAACCATTAATCAAATCAAATATGGTTCGAACCTTTCTTTCTTTAGAAATATATATATTTTTTACGTGTTTTAATTGTTTCAAATGATACTCTAATGTCATTGATCATGTAAAAAATATATGCATGGAACACAGACCTTAAATTTCGGGGATTGAATTCAATTGTACTTCAAGTTAAACTTGATGTTCTATGTAAAGATTTTAGTAAGTTTAACATATTTGTAAATTTTATGAAGTAATCACAATCCTTTGAAATTTTATAGGGAGTTCCAATCTCTTGAATTTAAGGAAAGAAAAAGTTCCTAAAGTTGATTGAAATGAATTTCTCAGAGAAGATTAATATTCCTTCATTTCGTACATATTCTTACACTGTTTTCAATGAAATGACGAAAAATAGAAAATGTTTGCACTCAGAGAAATTGACTCATCAAGCCACTAGCCAAAAAAAAAACCCCTTTGATTGAACCAGTTTATAAAACTCTTCAATGCCTTCAGTTTTCAAATTGAACCCGTGTCTGATTTTCATATCATGTAATATATATATATGTAGGGCAAGATTAAACAGAAGAGGAAAAATAATAATTCTGAAAGGAAAATAAATAAAAGCAGATTAAAGAGATTTCATTCAACCTCGCTGATAAGAATAAATAGTTCAAGAGAAGAATTAAATATGGTGTGAAAACTTGCGACAATCAACACAGTACAATTAGCCTACAAAAAGGGAATTTATGGGTTCAGACCAAAGTCAGAGGATCTGAGCAGCTGTGTTCAACTTTTCTGCTAGTGCAAGTTGTGTCCTAGTAATGCTCGACAAATATAATAATAGCAACTGATCCTGCACGACACAAAATATTCAAGAGTTGGTTCCATAAATGATTTCACGTAACGTTTCAAGAATAGGATAGGCTCCTAGCTAATATTATAAAAAGTTGGGAGATATAACCAAAGCACAATTGTAATGATATTTAGAAATTAATCATACCTGAAGGCTATCATTAACAAGCTTATCAAAAGCTGGAGGCGATAGTTTAGGTAAAGCTGCTACTGTATCCGATATAAATCTGCCGATGCTATTATCCGCTGCAACACGCCCTTCCTGAGAATGCAAATGAACATTATTAAAGGCAGCAGTTGGGACTTGTGACAAAAAATAAATATAATGGAGCTAATTTACGTACCACAACATCATCAACGTATTTGTAGATATCATCTATTAAAGCCAAAAGTCTTTGCATTGTGACTTCCATTCCTTCCAAATCAGTTGGCAGTTTGTCGACCGATGTTGTCTTAAGGATGTCAACTGATTTTACAACAAAGTTATTCAATTAAGTTGCATCAAGGCTTCACGTGCAGTCAAGGATAAAGAAAGAACAAAAAATCATGCAGGACATAACTGCAAAGTAACTAACAATAAACATTCCTATTCTTTGACATTTGTTTATGGACACAAACAGAGATAGAGAGCGTAGACGCTATCACAAATTCATAGGAGAAACACGGTAGTATCAAAAGACAGTTCAAATGACACATACATCCAAGTCGCTCAGCTTCGACCATGCGTAGATCAAGAGGAACTTCTTGGAATTGAGCAGCAAGTTGACTGTCTCCAAGAGCTAAATTGACTGAAACATAGGCCTTTATAGTACCTTCTCCATTCCTAAATCCCGTATCCACCGTCAGATGAACAGGGTTAGGAACTTCCCTAGAATAAAAATCGTGGATCAAGGCACTACCGCCTGTAACTCCAAGACCAGTAGAATACCTGGAAAAGTTGGACAAATTAATGGACAAGTTGGAATTATTAGAGATATATACAAACTCACATTCGGTGGGCAATTGGTAGTGAGGGAAAACATATTGAAGATACGGCAAAAATGCCAAGATAGGGCACTGGGGAAAAATATTCTTAGTGTTCCCATCGATTTTTTATCCTCTCAACTAGAGAAAAATCTACAGTGTTTCTGGAAGATGGACTGACAACATGACATCTTCTCGAAAGACGGTTGGAAAACAAGGCGTCTTTCAATCTCAAGCAATGTAGAAGACACCCTGTAATTCGGGCATCTTCCTTAAGAGGCCCTGTGATTCTAGCGCCTTATCCGAGGTATTGTAGAAAGGACCCTACTTGAGAAAATAATCTCCAGGGGCTACCATTTTGGGAAAAAAATTTCCCACCTCTCCAGTTGGTTGATTTTGCCTTAAAGAGACACTTTTAATACAAATGATCTCATATTTCCATGACACCTAAAACTACTAGCACATAAACGATTATCTCATTTTTTTCTTTCCTGAGCAAAATAAAAAAATAGGTAGGACCAAAGGGGGTTAAGAATTACCATCCAACAATGACTTCTTTTGGATTCACTTTTTGGTGGGAGACTAACATATTATGATGGTATTCAATGTCTAAAGCAACCTGCAGCAATAAACAAAAAATATAAAATCAATTTAAAAAACCTAAAAATACAAAACATCAAAGCAGGGACTGTAAAATATTTCACCTACATCAGTCACGATATTAAGATTAATTACTAATTCAATATGACAATTTGTGTTCTTAGTTGGACACTGGTATAGTAATCAGCAATTACAAACAAAAAAACAGAACAGATAGCCTGCAAGAACTCGAGCCTCCCATGCAATTCAAGAATGAATAAAACGAAATAATTGTTTCAATGCAATACATGTTATATTTATGAAATTATTTGAACGCAACCTAATTTGTATTTTCGTGCAAAGTCTATCATCAATCATTTATACAGCCAACATTATAAAGTACTAAGAAACAAATTCAATTTACAAAGAAAAACGAAGTAAACGAAAAGCCACCTCAATTCATTAAGAAAACCCAGAATAAATCAATTTTTAATCAATTATTTCAACACATTGCTCTAAAAGCTTTAGCTAATAAACAGAAAAAGAGTACAAATTTAACTATAAGCTAGACAGATCTCAATAAAAACAAACAAATCTGAAAAAAATTTAAAATACAAAACTTTGAAGATAAAAACTAGGGCACCTGCTCGGCGGATTCGGTGTGAGGAACGGCATAGGAGTTACGTATATCAACAGTGCCATCAGAAAGGACGGAACCAAGGAGCGTACCGATTACGCGCTCGGCTTGGTCGGGACGCCTGACGTAGCAATCGCAGATATTAAAGATGACGAGAGGGTGAACTTTCGCCGAAAGATTCGACGTCGACTGCGTGCTGAATTGCAAAACGGTACGATCGCCGCTCGCCATAATGTTGTTTTGGGTTCCAGAGAGAAAGCAGAAAGACAGGAGAGATAGTTTAGGGTTTGGAGAAACTTTTTAGCGTTACTTTATAATCTATTTTGTAGATCGATGTTTGCCCAATTATTCACATACTGGACGCGATTTTGGCCTGTTTTTACTGGGCTGCATATTTATCCATTTATTCTTTCTTCTACTCAAGCTTGCAAGTTTAAGGGCACTTACAACATTAGTCACTAATGTTTAGGCGTTTTCTCGTTTTGATCACTAAACTTTAATTATGCCAATTGTTTTTTTAATAATTGGATCCTTAAATATAAAACTGCTAGATGACATGGCATTTTTATGCTTATGTGTGTAGATATTAGATATATAAGACCAAAAAATGTATCACTTTTTTCAAATGCATTTTTATTTAAATTTTTTGTTACATTTCATTCCTCTTTATTAAAGATTAATTTTTTTCTCATTTTCAAACATTATTGAAAATTATTATTCTTTAACACTCTATACAACTATCATAAAGACTAGTGAGTTCATCTCATCATCTTTTATTGCTCTATTTGTTTGTATTCTTTTAAAAATCTATTATTCAATATAAAAATTTGTTTTGAGGGTTGAGATTTTGTTAATTTTAAGAAATCTATGATATTTGTCTAGAAATTCAAACGATGAGGAGTATTAAACGAGAAGATGGATAATATATCTTGAAACTAGTCTTATATCACGATTATTAGTGATGTATGAGCATTAAAAGATGAATTTTTTTGTATTTTTACTGGTTTTGAGTGAGAATATAAGAAAATCAGTCTAGGAAAAAAAGTGTAAATATTTTGCAAATAATTTTATTACGAATGGTGGTCAATCACATCCAGTGGTCGAAGAATGGTGATGGTTGAAAGAGATTACAATTTTATAAAAAAATTGAAGAAGATAAAGTCATTTCACAACGACAATAAAAATTTACTGATACTGTAATAAAAAAACAATTCTTGAATTAAATACTATAATTAGATATTTTGTCACACCCCAATTCTGGGTTAAATTTTTCTTAATTTTATTCTAAGGACTAAATTAAAATTTGGCCAACCCTGGGGCCAAAATGAAACTTTAGTTAAATTTAGACACAAATCTAAAATAATCAAAAGCTCGGGGACTTTTGGCATAATTATGCCCTTTTCCCTTTGATGGGTTTAAAAACCGTCCCAAAATTTAGCCTTTTCCATTTCTCGAAAATAAAGCACACCTATATTTCTCTCTTCAAAACTTTCCTTTTTAAGTAACTTATCCTAGGAAAACTTTGATCGTCGATTTGTTGTCGTTCGTTGCCCTGTTATCGACACTGCCCATACCATTGAAATCCTTGCGTCGTCCTGAGTTTAATGGAGGTCTCCTTGTTGTCGTCGTCACCAACGTGTGGAGGGATAAGCATCATCAAATTTTCGACGAAGCGTAATCGGGCTCCCCATTGTTCACTGTTGTGAAAAGAGTAGGTAAGTTCCTTAAATTGCTTTAAATTAATTTTTATAATTTTTTCGTATTTTTTCGGCCACCAAATAAGCCTGCACGCGCCTTGCGCGTGGGGAAAGGCCACCGCTTGGTGTGTTTCTAGAAGTTGGTCAAACTTACATGTTGACTCGATCCAACCCAACCGTCTGACCCACTGACATGCCTGCCCAATCCGACCCGACCTGTGCATCGTTAGCCCAAACCCAAATCTGAACATACCTAACTAAACCAACCCAACCCGAATCGGTCTAGCTGAACCGAACCAGTCCAGTCGCACCAAGCCGCTGACCGCGCCGTTTGATCGTTGACCAACGTTGACTTTTTTCTGAAAACCTCATTGTTGACGTTTTTCGATGCCCTGAGTTTGACTTTAAGGTTCATTTCACCAAATTCTGACCCGAAAGCCCCCAAATTAAGCCCGTTAATCCTAAGATGCTTAGTATTTTTAGTATTTCTGCTTATTTATTTGGGATTTGATTGTGGAATTAATTTAGGATTATATTTTCTTGAAGGTACCCGTGATTCCCCTAACCGAGGGTTGACCAGATCTGGTACTTCCTGTTTGATAGATCAACAGGTTGTACGTTCTGCAAGAGTGACTCATAGTTTTTTATAAATTGTTTAATTTAACTTTATTATTTATTTTCTGTTAGGATTTTGAGGTAGTTTTTTTTATTCGTAGGGTCTAGCACTACCGTTGATTGTAATAGGCAAACCTGGGGATAGACTACTGTTCCAGACTTTTCAGATCGGTATAGGTTTGTTCCTATTAGGTGTTACAATAATGTTTTAAATTATCTCTCTGAATTTTTTTGGAAACTAAATACTCTGATAGCATGACATATGTTTTACCACATATTCTTACTTTTAATATCTAATTTACCTTATATCCTGGCATGATCTCTGATTACCGTAATTATGTATCTAATTCTAAAAAATAACATGTTTTCATGTTTTATTAAATTAAATTATCGTTTTCATCCAAACTCATACATATTTATTATCATTGGGGGGTATGATTGGAGGAAGTATTTAAGGCCTAATCTCTTACTTGTAAGACCTTACCGCAAGCATCTCTGCTTTATACACAGGCTAAGACCTTACCACATGCCCTTGTGCTATCAGTATAAAGTCCTTACATGACATATAGGTAGGTGTATAGTTCAGGAAAACCTATGCATTCTGATGTACGCATGGGGGTAGTGTTCATGTTTTAAAGAGCATGCTTTTATAAAATAAATTTTACTAAAGTATTTGTCTGAATATTTTATACATTGAATGGAACACACTGGGCTTTTTAGCTCATTCTTTAATTTTTTAACTTTTCATATAGTACCAGACAATAGACTAGTGGGGTTGGCATCGAAAGGATTGATCTCTTTATTTTTGTATCACTGTATATTTCTGTATGCCCATTTTGTTATACTTTGGTGACATGTTTTTACTATTGCCTTCACACATCTATATTACCAATATTTTGTTTTCAACGTTATGTCTCTGTATATTTACCGCATAGATTTTTCTGATGGTTATTTTCGTATTTTACTGAAATAGATTTTAAATGTGTTTTGAATCTGAAAATGAATTATGTATACAGCATGTAACCGCCTAGATTTGGGCATACCTTCTAGGCCAAGTCTAGGGTTACATTTGGTGGTATCAGAGCTTTCAGTTTTAAACACTCGGACTGTGGATGAGTCCATATATAGTATTTTTAAAAGATATTTTTTAATATTTACAAATATCGTGTCACCTTGTTTTACAAGTTTTAAATATATTTGAGATTTCTGATGCCAGAATAACTTAGGTTTAAATTCTTTTTGTAGAGCCTATTAGATCTAATATGATGAGTGCCCGAGGTTGTAGGATATGACATGGTCGTGGCCGTAATCGTGGGCGAGCAACTCATCTTTCTGTTTCTTCTAAAGATCCTACGTTAGCCAGTGATACTCCTGCTCCGCGTGTCCATCAGTTTACTTCCTGAGAGGATCCGGTTACACATGCGAGAGACCATCCCGTTATCGAGGATGAGTATGATGAGATGGATCAGGGTGCCCTAGACAAAGTTGTCTACTGTATGTTTCAGAGGGCAGCTAGAGCTCCTGCTATTATGTCTGATGTGGATATATCTATGTCCCTAGTGGCTGCTAGAGTGGTTCCATTTGAGGGCATGACTAGGGGACCTCCGACAGATGCTGAGTACTGATTGGAGGACACTGAGAGGATTATAGACGAGATAGAGCTAAGGCCTGAGCAAAAGTTGAACGGAGCTCTAGCTTTGCTTAGGATGAAAGCAATAAGATGGTTGAATTCAATTTTTAGGAATATTCCGAGGGATCAATTAACTTGGGACCTTTTCAAGGGACGTTTTTAAAGTCGTTATATTAGAGAGAGATACTTATAAAAGCGACGTCAAGTGTTTTAGAGCTTAGAGAAGGGTGATATGTTTGTTATAGACTATGAGATTGAGTCTATTAGACTGAGTCGTTATGCTCTCGAGTTAGTGGATAACGAGGTGGATCGGTGCTTGAGGTTTGAAAATTGACTGAGGTATGAGGTTAGGGATCGAATTGCTACCCACCGGGTGAGGGACTTTGATACTTTGATATATATAGCCAAGATGAACCAATTTGGCTTTGACTTTTTATTTTGGCCATGTAATTTTCAAAAATTCATTTTAGTCATTAAAATTTCCATTGTTCGGCCAAATCTTAAAAATTACCTTGTTCTGAGTTAAATTTCTCTGATCTAAAATAGGGAAATAGTATTTTCAACCATTAGCTAACATCTTTAAATTTTTTGTAAAATTCTGATTCAATCCGATTATCTGATTTCTATACCAAACTTTAACGGTTTATAGCTTTTAAATCAAATCCCATACCGAAAATCTGATTACAACAAAAACTCATGTTTTAGGCTAAACTGTTCATTTACGGGCCAAAATATATAACGTTTTAAAATTATATATTTGGTCTCTAAATTTTTACAAAGTTTATACTTTAGCCATCAAACTTTCAAAACTTACATTTTGGTCACTAACCAAAAATTGGGATATTACAACATTGGGCTTTTTATCTTATTTTTAATTTTTTAACTTTTCAGATAGTACCAGACAATAGACTAGTGGGCCTGGCATCAGGAGGACCGATCTCTCCTCATTTTTATATCATTGTATAATTCTATAGGCCCCTTTTATTATACTTAGGTGACACGTGTTTTTTTACTACTGTCTTCACGCATCTGTATTAACGATATTTTATTTTTGACGTTATGTCTCTGTATATTTATCACATGTACTTTTCTGATGGCTATTTTTTTTGTATTTTACTGTTATTTGCATTTTATTTACTGAAATGAATTTTAAATGCGTTTTGAATCTGAAAATGAATTATGTATACGACATGTGACTGCCTAGATTCGGACATACCTTCTAGATTGGGTCTAGGGGGTTACATATTTTATAGTGCAATAACCAAATCAAAAAGAGAATAAAAGTCTAATGACTAATGATGTAGTTTGTCTTTTAAAATTTAAGGATA